GATTAAAATCTAATTAAGCAAACAAAATAAATTGAGATTAAGGAAATAATGTAAAGTATGAAAATAAAGATGATAAAGCACTAGGGCACCGATTTCACCTAGCTAATCCCACCCAAATCCTTATAGCTTGTTAATTCTAATTACCTAACATGTTGATAATCGTTTTCCCTTACCTCACCAATACTCTCTTCCGAGTTATATCAGTTGTATTTCTTACAGTCAACCCACTATATTCCTAGTTATGGATTTAGATAGCTAAGAACCCATTAAGATTTGTGGAAAACAATAAAGATTACACAAACCATAACCTAGTCTTCCGAGTCGGCTATGTAATTTATGGTACTCGTTACAAGAAGCTATTTACTAGGAATCTCCTTTCGGTCTCAACCTAATTCTTCCAATCATGCAATTAGTGGCCAATTAATTGAAAGCATGAAAAACGGTAACAAGCACTCAACATGTATAGATAAATAAAATTAACAATATCAAAGAATTTGAGTATTCATAGCTAAGCTAAATCGTAGCCCTAGTAAAAGAAATTAGTTCATGAAGGACTTATTGAGAATTATGATAGTTGATGAAAACATGGAAGACACCGAATTCTCCAAGCAGAATGCCAAGGTTGCGCAAGCTGTCTTCGTATTCTCCTTTGGATATTTAGGCTATGAGTATGAATATGGAGGATGATGGGTGATGGGTCATCCTTTTGAACAATGATCTAAACTTCCTATTTATAAGACTCCTAGAAATCCTATCTATGGTATAATTACAATTGTTATATAAGTAGGATTCCTTCTAAAATAGGGTCTTCTTTATTTCTCCGTGTTTGACTTGATTAATCTCCAATCTTCATCTTCTTGCCCTTTTTAGCACATTTTCTCCTATTTCCATAGTTCCTTCACAAATCTCACAAAACTAATTAAAACAACCAATTTAACCCAAGGAAATTAACAAATAAATAAGTAAAAGAGGCATAAAATATATATAAATTATAGGCTTATCACCACACCACCCATACTTGCTGCAGCATTGCCCTCCTGGACACAGAGCACCCCCTGCTTGCCTCCCACACTGCTCTGCTGTGCCTCCTTGGATGGAGGAAAACAACAACAGAGAAACAAATGCCAAAAGAAAGCACCACATTGTTGTGTCAATTCGTTTGTGATATTTGGTTGAGTTTTTGAAAGGATCAGTGGATGCATGGGTGTATATATAGGTTGGAGGAATAGAGGAATTAAGAGACTTTTTTTTCTTCTCTTTTTGGGTAGTTTCTTGAATTATCTGTGTCTTTCGTGCATTTAGTCAATATTTGTGGGAAGAACAGATTTTCTGATCTTATCTAGTAAATCATAGCTCAGGTCTAAAGAAAGGTTAAGAAAAAAAAAAGAAATTGTGGGGTATGTGGGCGGCTGTTGGTGCATTTTTTTTAACTTCATGTTCATGAATGCTAGTGAAGGATATATCCAGTCCTAATTGACATCCATTTCTCTGTGTACATAAAGCTCATGTCCCCAAAGAGAGACATATAGTACACAGAATTTCAGAAATTGAATAGTATAAAAATATATGTAAAGCCAAAAACTTATATTATGCATGAAATGGTGGGAGAGGGATGGATGGCAGGGTATGGGTCAGCAAAGCATGTGAAACCCAACCTGATTTAGTTATGCTTATGACAGAAATGCTTCCAAAAATAACAAAAAATGCTTCATGTTTTCTAAAATGTTTGGTTGAAACTTGAAATAGACAAAATCTCCTTTTGGAAAACATTGATTGAAACCAACATTTTAATTTTACTTGAAACATTGTCAAATAAACCTTATAATTAGGGTATTTGACATCAATATATATCGAGCGGACAAATAAAATGCGATTAGTTCAAGTGATAAAGGCGGATTATGTTAAAAGTTCCTTTTCCTTCCATTCCATTGTAACAATAATTAATAAATAAAAAACTTTTTGGTTATATAAACAACTCTTAATCCTACTTCGTCCATGTCTTAAATAAACTCTTAATTTAAGTGGGCTAAAATAAATCCAACTAGTGAGCCTTTAATCCTACTTAGTCCAGGTCTTAAATAAATCCTTGTTTGATGCAAGACATGATTAGTACTAAATAGTCCAATATGTGTTGTAGTTTTGTGTAACAAAGAAGGCCTAAAAGTCTCGTTTTTGGCTAATACAGATATCTATAGAGTTGCTAAAATGAATTCCGTATGTGGCAAGGAACACAGTTCATTCCTATCCAAGTACACCAATAATTCATCACGAAGTTGAGAAGGTTTCGATGCCTTGCACTTGGACAACTTTAATTACCTATTGATCCAAGTTCCTGCTCTATAAAATGCACAAGTGTTACAGACTAAAGACCAAAACAAATTTTAATAAAAGGGTGTTCGGAGAGAACTTTAATGATAATGAATTGATGTCCAAAACGAACGTGTGCATTATTGTATTATCCTTATCTTGGACACGACTTAAGACTACGAAAATGACTTCGTTCCTGTCTGCTTGCAAATAAATTGTATGCTTGTTTCCAATTAAGAAAAATTAAGGAACGTGATTTCATTTTGTCTTGGCTGAGAGAAATCAAGTCATCTTTTCTACCTTTTCCATCTCAATTGCAATTTCCGGCTTAGGATCCTTGTCAACCCAATATTTGCATAGCTCCTTTTGAATTCCCATGTCTTTGATTCAGAGTGTAATTTGCAAAGACAAAAGGGGGCAAACAATAACATTTGTTTATCTATATGAGCAATAAAGGGAGAGAGGGGATTCAAACTTAAAACTTCGGGTGCAAAAATAACTGTTATTAATCACTTGAGATACAAGTCTTTTAGGGACAAACAATGGCATTAAAGAAGTATAAAATAAGCTTCAAGGTTGGAAATGAAGAAACACTAGTGTGCAACGGGGATATCACTGTTTTTCTATCCCTGACTAATCACGTTATGCCACCCGTGAACATTTTTTCACTGAGCATAGCGTGATTGGCCAGAGATAGCAAAACAGTGTTATCCCCGTTTCATATAATTTTTTCTATTGGAAATGCCCCATCTCCCACCCCCAATATCATAATGAGTGACATCATTTATTAAGCATATGATTTGGCATATACTTGGGAATCATTCCATATCATACCTATATTCTCTAACAAAATCACAAATTCTCACTTGGGTTTTGAGTGGATTTGGGCTTTCTTTATCAAGATGAACTGTCAGTAGTGTTTAAAACCATTTGAACCTTGGTTTGGCCCATTTCATGGAGGTTCACCACATTTTTTTGAAGATGGTTTGCTTGTTAAAATCTTCAAACCCCTAAGGTTGATTGTTGTGCAAGAGGCAGACAAAAACAACAAAGATGAGTTTAGTATGCGTTTTCCATGATGTGGAGGAACAACACGAGATTGGTAATTGATTCTATTGTCCCTGCAACAGAAAACTAGCCAGCACTGTTTCCATTGCTTAACACGTATATAATCACTATTCATATTTTAATGTAAATGCCATTCAACTTTGGTGAGTGAATGTGCATGTGATAATTTTTCTCAACACAAGAAGAATCTTGACAGCTCTGAACTCTGATATTAAATCTTGATGATTATTAACTTAATATTTATTTCTGTAACTACTTTTATGATGAACGTGACTTAAACTTAGAATTCAATCTTGAAAAACAGAGAAAAAATTTCATTATTGTTGTGGAATAAGTTTATCAATTTACTCAATAGATTGTATCAATTTGATATCAAAAGATGTATTTGTAGTATACACATGTATGTTTTTCAAGTACAGAATGGAAAAAGCTAATATCTCTCTAGTGGTTAAGGATGTTGAGGAGGGAGACTCTTGTTTTGATCAATTGCCTAAATAGGCACTCAACTCCTCCTTCTTGGTCTTGAATGCATGACTCCAGCTTCTCGAGCTGGTTCTGCGCATTTTCGACACTTTTGTTTTGAGTTTTGCTTGTCTTGTGTCCAATGAGTGAGTTCAATGCAGCATCCACTTGTGCAAATTCATTGGATTCTGTTTCTTCTTCACAAGCAACTTTTTTGGAGTGCATCATCTTGGAGACCAATCACCAGCTGCTTGGCTGTGATTTTGGTCCAGAGATGAAGGGCAGCAATGACTTAAACACTGCAAGAGTGACTGCTTCAACTTCTCTGAACTTGTTAACAATGGCAATAGACTCATTGTCCTGGTTTGGGGAAGAGAAGGTGGATCTGTTGATTCCCTTGAGATTCTTCATAGCCTTTTGGATTATCTTTTTCACCATCTTCCTGGAGGTTAAGTATTTCCTAACCTCACTGGTGAGTGCTCCAGATTCACCTCCTCGTGTTCTTCATATGATCGATTGAAGATCCTGTACGCATTCCTTGGTTTGCAAGATAGCATCCTTGGCGCTGCTGCAACCATCCAAGAGCCTGAGAGAGCCATCTAATAGCTCATTAGTCCATTTCTCATTCTGCTCTTTGGCCAAGGCTTGTTGTGTGAGTGGCAACTGAAGCAACTTATCAACACAATCATGCAAGTCTTGGAGGCCACTTAGTTTGTGGCATATTGATGATGAAGATGTGGAGGCGAAGACCTCAATCTACACAAATGTTCGTCAACTTCTTGAACGATTGGGTGTGGCCTTGAAGGGAAGCTGTTAGAGCGAGTGTGGAAAGCCATTTCTTCTTTGTGTGTTGTGAGAAGATAGAACAGAAGACTTAGAAACTTTTGATTGACGTACAATTCAGAGTGGTTAATATATAGTGTTGATTGAAGAAGGGGACATGGAATCTCATCCACTTCAATCATCAGTGAGAGGTAACATGATTTCGATTTGCATCTATATGTTCCCTAGGCAATGTTTATGCAGTGTCCCTTCCCACCCCATCATTCCAACTCATGAATTGATTAATTTAGCACATTAAAATGCTACAACCACTTAATCAATCATAATTAATATACGATATCACGAGTGGCGTTTACGTCCTTGTTTACACAAACACGTAGAAAGGCAAAAACCATTTAATTCAATTATGCTGATCAACGCATATGATTAGTTTAATTCATCTTGTTTTGCAGGTCCTTCATTCACATGATTGTTTCCCAAGGAGGAGGCATGATCAGAAAATATGCAATATGCTGCAGTAAAATGTCACCATCCATTGTGTTTCTATAATGTTGAAAAAGGGTGAGTTGCTGGTTAATTAGCAAACAGAAAGAAAAGCAGCATAATTTTCATTATAATCAGAAGGGTGTGAGATCTGAGTCTGCCATGTTTATGTTTACTTCAATCTGTGTTTACTGTTTCCTGGGAGAAAACTGTTTATGTCAATGTTTGAACTGATGTTACTATTTTTCACCAACCAGTGTTACCAATAGCAAGGTCTTGAGGATCCTCTAGCATCCACAAGCATCGTTGTAAACAAAATCAAGCAACACTATAAACTTTCTTTTAGTCTCCTTTGAATGTGAAGTGTTTATTATTGGTTATCTTCCTTGAGAGAAATAGAATCTTCAACACTCAAACTCCCTAAATCGCCACTTAAAAGTATATACGAAATTCTGAGCTTATTCAAGATCTGATCTTAAGAGGCAAAGCGAGTGCAACTTGTCCCACATTGCTTGGTTCGTATCACACACTACGCTTTATAAACCCTGCACGAGGTACCTGTACAGCCGAGCTTCGTAACGCAAGCTTGTAACCCTAGTGGGGGCTTTGAGGTGCTGGAACATTGGCTCAGTCTTAGCGGGTCGGGTTCGGGTTGGCTATCTACTGGTCCGCCCATTCCAAGCCAGGAGTTGAACCCTGTGGCTCGAGCGAAGGCTCTGGGTCACTTGGTTTCTAGAGCGGAGGGAACCGCGTAAGGCTGGCTTCACAGAGCAACGACTACCTCCCGCTCTTGGCAGTGGAAGGATAACGGGTCGGTGGTCACTTGGATCCATCATGGCTCGCTAGACTGTCCCAATTGAACCAAAACCTTTTTTTAGCTCTTGGCTGAGGCGTGTGAGATTCAAGTCCTTGTTTTTTTTGCTCTGAGTTTACCTCAGGTTTGACTTAAGAGTTAATTCATCTTCTCTTGTAATTAGACCAAGTATAGATGATAGACAAGAAGAGATGGAAATGGTAGAATTTTTGTTTCAATAGTTCCAAAAACGAATGCGAATGATAATAATTGACAATTAAGCAAATGAGTAATCATTTTGTATAATCAATTTGATATCCAGAGGATGGTCTGTCATACACATGTATGTTTTTCATGTACAAAATCGAAAAAGGTAATATATATATCTAGTGGTTTAGGATGGTGACTCTTGTTTTAATCATCTGCCTAAATAGGCAGTGAAGTTGTTCTTCCTGATCTTGAATGCATAACTCCAGATTGTCGAGCTGGTTGTCTGTATTCTTGTGGTCAGATTTGCTTGTCTTAATGAATGATTGCAGAGCAGCATCCACTTGGGCAAATTCATTTGCTTCTGTTTCTTCCTCACAAGCTACTCTTTTGGTGTGAATAATCTTGGCAACCAATAACCAGCTGCTGCTTGGGTTTGAATTTGGACCAGAGATGAAGGACATGAATGATTCGAACACTGAGAGAGTGACTGCCTCGATATCTCTCAACGTGCTAACAACGGCAATAGTCTCATTGTCCTTGCTGAGGGATGAGAAACTGGATCCCTTGAGATTTATCATAGCCTTGTGGATTGCTTTCTTCACCAATCTTCCTTGAGGTAAAGTATTTCCTGACCTCAGTGAGTGCTCCAGATTCACCTCCTCGCGTTCTTCGCTTGATCGATTGAAGGTCCTGTATGCATATCGATTGAAGGTCCTGTATGCATTCCTTGGTTTGCAACATGGCATCCTTGGCACTGCTACAAACATCCAAGAGCCTGAGAGAACCATCTAATAGCTCATTAGTCGATTTCTCATTCTGCTCTTGGGCCAAGGCTTGTTGAGTGACGGGCAACTGAAACAACCTATCAACACAACCATGCAAGTCTTGAAGGCCAGTTAGTTTGTGGCTGATTGATGTGGAGGATGTGGAGGTGGCCTCAGAAGATCTCAGTCTACACAAATGTTCATCAACTTCTTGAACGATCGGGTGTGGCATTGAGGTGAAGCTGTTGGAGCGAGTGTGGAAAGCCATTTCTTCTTGTTGTGTTGTGTCTAGTGTGAAGATAGAATATAAGACCTTGAAGAAGTTGTGGCTAATGTTCTTTTCCATATGTGTCTGCTTAAAATTTAGGGTTGGTTGAGTTGGGGGACATGGAATCCTGAGAGAGGTAACATGATTTGAATTTTATATCAGAGGATGTATTTGCATTCAACTCCCTTCTTCCCGATCTTGAATTAATGGATGGCACTAGCGTGATGTATGCTCTCCACACAAATTAAATTTTAATGCCATAAAAATAGGAAAAAAAGGAAAGTTAAATAAATAAAAATTATTAAAATTCAAGTTAAAAATAAAACTTGTAAAAAGGTGGCGGTCAAATCAAGAGTGGACCACCTCAGCCTGGCCCAGTAAGTTCGTAGTGGCGCCGAACACTTAGAGAGTCACTGTTGTGGCGAGTCGGTAGGATCCGGACCGGGCATTTGGAAGCCTACCTCCTCCCAATAAAGTTGAAGATTGGGTTCGAATTGCTCAACGCGGGTTGCCCCTCGCAAGCAACAGAACCATTTTTTAAAATGAAAAAAGGGCATGCGTTCTTTGATAAAAAAAAATTCCCTCCAGACAGCTTAACTCCGTCAAGCCTGTAGGAGTAGTGAAGAACTATAGATAACTTTTGTTGGTTGTTGACCAACGGAAAGCATGGGAGTGGAGCTCGCCTTAGCGAGCGAAACACGCGACATAACATAAAGGAGAGTATGAAAGTGAAAGCGGAGATCCTGGATAGCTGCCCTGTTTATAAAGGATCTACAAGGAGAGATCTATATAGAATTAGGGTTCCACTTTCCCTATCTCGGAGCCAACCCTAGGGCTAGGGTGAGGCTGGGAGGTTTGCGAAACACTCCGCCGACATTAATGTCGCCAGCAAGCTTCATGCTCTCTCGATGATCAGGTTCTGCCCGGATTGGACCATGGACACAAATTATTGGGCAATGGCATCTTTGAAGAAAGCTACTTTTGTGGCTGGGCCAGTAAGTAGTGCAATTAAATAATGGGCTGAACTTAGGGCACTGGGCCGTGGGTGTTCAATAAGACCAATTTCACATTCCACCTTTAATGCTCCCGCATTGGGTTACAAGCATATGTTACTAGGCTCGGCAATCAAAATTTTACGAGTCAACAATATTAAGTACTTCACAAGTATTATACTTCTCCAATGTGGGATTTACTGTTTTTAAAAGAGAGAAATCTTTTTTTAGTGTTTCTACTATCTTTATTCTCAATATTAAAGAAAGGTAAAATCCAAATCCCGTCGTCTACACATGGATACCTATTGATTAAAAAAAGAAGATGATATTGCAGCAAGCAAGCAAGATCATATTGAAAATACATGTAGGATGTCTAAAAATGCCTAGAGGAGGGTGAATATGCCAATTTAAGATTATAATCAAATAAATAAAAATAAACTTTGGTAACAGGATTGATATGGCTTATCAATCTTGAAACGTGCTGAGCATAAAATAAAAGAACACGCAGAGAATTATTTTACGTGATAAAACCCCATCTCTGGGGAAAATCCACGGGACTCCTCAGTCCAACACAAATCCATTATAGAACGATGATTACAAGAAGTACTCACATACTTATCGTAGACACATTCTATATAATGTTTACCGACTTCTTCGTAACTCAACTTCTGTCACGAGATGATATTTGACACTCCTTATGTTGAACGCAATACTGGTCACGATTGCTTCAAGCTCGTCGGAGTTCTTCCAACTCTCTTTATGTTGAATCCGATACTGGTCACGATCGATTCAAGCTCATCGGAGAAAAACTACCACAACGATCTTGGTGTCCTCAACCGTATGAGTCACCGACATGCATATGAATGATTAAAGTGTTTGATAAATCACCAAGTAAACATAGAACACTTGATGATTTATCTCAAATAAATGCACAACAGCTTTTTCCTAAGAATTCTATGCTCCACACAAATATGTCAAAAGTTATGACTGTCAAAAGAGAGGCACACCTCTTTTATGCAAAACCGTGTTCTCTCAGTAAAAGATCCCAAAAACATGAACACATATCCTATTGAAATATGCCGATCAAATGTAATCCAATAAGGACTCTTGGTGAAACACGTCAAAGCATGGAGACCAAATAATGTTCAATTATGGATATATGTTTTGATTCTATCACTTACGCCAGCTTTATGCATGGTATCCCAAATACCATCCCAATATCATCTTTTTATAATAAAGGAAAATGCTAGGGAGACCAACTTTAGATACCAACTTGTGTACCATCTCTCTAATAAAGTGTGGGACCCATTGTATTGGTGGGCTCCACCTCTATTAGAGAGATGGTACACAAGTTGGTATCTAAAGTTGATCTCCTTAGCATAACCCTTTTATAAAAGGAACCAATATACAGCAAGATGAAAGCAATGAAACAACTAGGAAGTGCTTGCCAAGTTTTAGATAAAAGATATTTTAACTTTAAAACAAAATAGAGTCCAACTAGGAAGGTAATCTCAAGAGATAAAATCAAATCCTATTAAAAATAAGATTAACATAAAAATACTTGAGTGAAAAAACTCCAACTAGGAATCCTATAATGAATGCATGATTTACCTTAAGTCAAGTTTTTCGTATCGGTCAAGTCATGCCTCGGATGTATGGGGTTGAATGAGTTGTGCCAAAACGTCCAGTAACAATTCTTCACACACTAGTTTTCAACCTAAACTAGAGTCTAGGAAATTACAACACTATTTTCATACTAACACATATCGTAATTAAGCTCAAACCCTTATTTAGGCAAAATAGCATGATAATTGCAGGAATTCAGGATTAGTAATAGTTAACCATATAGGCACCAAAATTTACTGATATTTTAAACAAGAACAAGAGAGTAGGTAGTAGCAATTTAAGCAACGGAGTCTGTCCCAAGGTCCAAAATTTATCCAAGTACGGAACACAACCGTATTGCCTGCCATGTATAGACATCCCTCTTGGTCTTATGTTTACTGCTCAAGGCGTGTGAGAGTCAAATCCTCCATTCAATGGAATTAGTTTTTGAAAATGTACTATCTTCGTTGAAATATTTGATATGATAATCCCATGTGATTTCAATCATAATTTCAGAAACTATTGTGAATTTGTTGGCAGTGTTCCAGTCAAGGATGAAAGTTCTGCATTAATAGTTTCAATATTCTTGGGCCTTTCCACCAATTATAAATTTGTTTCGAGTTGAACACACTCACGAAACCAAGTTAAGGGCTACCATGGGCTCTAGCCTTTTTTGAAAATTAAAATATAATTAATGTATATTAATGTGATTTTAGATTAATTTGCTTGCCCAATTAAGAAATAATCCCTTAGTAAACACTCATGACTTTAACTCTCTACCTTTTCCTCTTCTTTTTTTTTCCATTGTTTTCGTAATTTTTTTTCGTCAATATTAATGACACTCTTTTCAATTAGGTAGTACAAAGGGTGGGTGTGGTGCGGTTCATATGAAGAACGAGTTTATAGCCGTTTCTATTATTGTCTACATTGAAAAAGAATTTGCTAACAATATCGATTCATACACAATAACAAAATATTTCAATTCTCTCAAGGATCATAGGGCACAACTTGAATATGTACAATTTCAATTATGTTGTTCAACATATTTTCATTTTGATATTATGTGTGTTTTTGGGTGCATTTCACATGTATTTATTTTATGTTAAAGCTTATTGAAAATTAGTCAATGGAGCTATGAACTAGCGTGGTTTATATGCTTTAATATATATTTTATTTCTAGAAAAACTATCAAGTACAAGAAAAATCATCATTAGATTTTAAGCCAATAATTTTAATTAGCCCACCCGTTGAAAAATTCATATTTCTGCCCATAGTTTTATTTATTTTATATATATATATAATTTTTCTTAGTTTTTGGTCTCTGTCTCTTCAAAATTTTGAATTCAACTTTTCGGAAGATGTTTTTGGGGGTGGGCTGATTGTTAGGGTTGTGGTGTTACTTTTTCTTTAAATTTTAGTTATAGTTTTTTTCTTTTGTTATTTTGAATTTACTTTTGGTCTTTATAACAAAATGGTAACTCCTTGTTCAGGTGAGGTGACTTTAGTAGTTGGTGTCAACATGTCAACATATATCATAGGATTAGGGCCTCCATATATGTGTCGAAAACAAAAAAAGACGATGAGTGAGTTCAATGCAGCATCCACCTCGGCAAATTCATTTGTTTTTGTTGCTTCCTCACAAGAAAATTCCTTTGACTGCATCATCTTGACCACTGACTAGCTGCTTGGCTGTGATTTTGGCCCGGAGATGAAGGAAAGAAGTGACTCAAACACTGCGGGAGTGATTGCTTCAACATCTCTCAACTCGCTAACAATGGAAAATGTCTCATTGTCCTTGTTGAGGGAAGAGAAGGTGGATATGTTGTCGACTGCCTTGAGATTCTTCATAGCCTTTTGGATTGCCTTTTTCACCATCTTCCTAGAGGTTAAGTATTTCCTAACCTCACTTGTAAGAGCTTCAGTTTCACCTTCCCGCCTTCTTCGCATGATCGATTGAAGGTCCTGCATGCATTCCTTGGTTTGTAATAAGGCACATCCTTGGCAGTGCCACAAACATCCAACAGCCTGAGAGAGCCATCTAACAACTCATTAGTTCATTTCTCATTATGCTGTTGGGCTAAGGCTTGTTGAGTGAGGGGCAACTGAAGAAACCTATCAACAGAATCATGCAAGTCTTGGAGACAAATAATACTTACCCAATGAGCGTATTGAATTCCCAGCAGAGGCAACAGCGCAGCACAGCACAGACAGATTTCGAAATTTTTGTAAACTTTTGCATTCTGACTCTGCAATGGCGGAATGCAGATATGTAGAAGAAGGAATTTGCGCGAAGAAATATCATTTTCGTGGAGCAAAACAATTTTTTCGTCGCATCAAATAACCTTTTTTCGTTGCGCAAAGACCTGTCAACATCGGAATTTTGCACAACGAAAATATCTCCTT